CGGAGGGGAAAGAGCAGCGCCAGGAGGCCCCGGCAGGCGTCGGCCAGGCGTTGGTAGCTCCGGGACAGGAAGAGGATCTTGTGCTCAGTGAGTGCCGCGCAGAACAGAGCCAGCACGTTGGTGATGCCTGAGGGCCAGGGTGAGGGTGAGTTTGGAGAGGCTCTGGGGGGCCCACCTCCCTGGCCTCCCTGCCCCGGGCTAGGCTGTGGCTCGGGATGAAGAGCTCACCGAGCTGGCGGAAGAGTAGGGCCACACTGCAGCAGCTGACGGGCAGCGAGTCGGTGAGCGGGGTCTGGATGACCTGCCGGTCCCCTGCCCCCAGAGAGATGGTTCTCTGCAGAAGAGAGCAGCAGAGACTCAGGCCAGTAACCCAAGCAGGTGATGTGAGCCCAGCCCGAGGGGGCCAGGCCCTGCTGGGCAGAACAACAAAAGAGTCCCTACCGCTCCTTCCTCCACAGAGTCCAGCTGCACGGGACAGACAGGCAAAGAGACAGTTAGACACACAGTGGGCCAGGCCACGGCAGACAGGGACAGGCCAGACACATGCACAGGGGATGGGGAGGCCCAGGGGAGGCCCACCTGCGAGCCCCCGGCCAGGGGGATGGTGCAGGTCAGCAGGTTCCCAATGACACTCTCCAGGGACACGCTCAAGCCCTCGACGTGGACCGTGTAGATGAGCCCCAGACTGTTCTGCAGTGACCACAAGTGGAGTGGAGTCACAGCAAGCAGGAGACCCTCCCACCCCCACTCCCCCGCCCCAGCTGTCACCTCACCCTGAACACCTCGGAGTGGTCCAACCTTGACACCAGCACCAGGGTCTTCGGAGCAAAGAGCTGGCTGGCGGCTGTGGGCCGCCCCTCCTCTGCTGCTGGCTCACTCCCCACGGAGTCCTCAGTGCACACAGCATCCTGAGAGCAGACACCCCATTGTCCCCGCAAGTCCCCAGCCCCCACTCTGCATGGGAGGGGCCTGGAAGCAAGCAGGGCGGCCCGTCTGACCTGGGTGGGCTCCACCGGCTCCCAGAAGGTCAGGCAGGCGCAGTAGTGCCGTTCGGAGCTGATGTCAGTGAGGACAGCCACGAAGAAGGTCGGTGGGTTCCGCTCAGCACACAGCTGCCACCCGCTGGGCTGGCAGAACTGCACGGAGGACTGGCGGTCAGCCCCATAGCCTGGGTCCCCTGTAGGGCTATGCTGCAGCCAGGCAGCCCAGCTCCAGTGGCACCTCGCCCCCTGGGTCCACAACAGCACTGGCCAGGCCTGCAGGCCCCACCCAGCGGGTGCAGGGGCCCAGCTGCCTCAGACTCTGGCTCCGCCTCGGAGGGAGAAGGGCAGAGGGGGTGACCCTTTGCTCCAGTAGCAGCCCACCCACCCACCCCAGGCTCCTCTTCCCACGCTCACCAGTTCAATGCCCTGGGGAAAGGGGTTGTCCTCCCAGTCCTTCTCTGGGAAGCGCTGCAGGATCTGGCCCTGGCCTTCGCCACTCCCTGGGAACAAGAGTAGGGCTCAGGTCCCCCTGCCTGCGGAGGCTCAAGGGTCTAAGGCAACTCTGTGGGCTGGGGGTGGGGCGGGCCCTTGGTGGTTCACCCCTGGTCCACCCCTGCTAGTTAGCTTGACTAGGGTCCATGGGCTAGATCCCTCCACTACAGAGTCTGGGGCTCACCCCTGAGCCGTCCAGGCCACTGCCCGGGGTGGACAGGGGTTCTCTCCTGGCTCACCCCAGTCACCCCAGGAGTGAGGCCCACAGGTGGGAGGAGGTAAGAGCTGTGACTCACAGACCTCAGCTTCCTGCCCCTCCCCCACTCTCACTGCAGCTGAAGCAGCCCAGCTGGGACCAGACCCGAAGAGGAACAAGAGGGGGCAAGTGTCTGCTGAAGCTAACGACACTCGGGCACACCTGTCACACTCACCATTCGCATCCCCACCTACTGACACACCTGATACACATCTCACCCACTGCACTCTTACACAACCCTACACATATTCATGCACACCTAACATTCACACTCGTCACCCATTTATACATGCACACCTTACACACATCCCCTACTCATTCCCCTACTCACTCATGCACACCACACACACACACACACACAGATGCACACCCAATACACTCATCCCCTACTCACTCATGCAC